TATCTGTCGCCCCGCCCTCACGCCCACACACCCCAGACTTCACCAAGCGCCAGGCGCACGCGTTTGCTGAGCTGGAGCTCGCTGAGCTGTCAATATCCGAGGCGCTGGACGCCCTGTCAGAGGTGCCCGAGTACGAGGCCGGCCTGGCGCCCGCGAGCGAGGGGCTCGACCCGACAATGCCCCTGAAAGAGCATGCGTTCCAGGTGCGGCGGCGGGGCGCTACGAGCGCGGGTGCAGGGGCACATGCACGCGCACGCGGCGCGTCGGCGCGTGTGGGACGCCACGCCGCGGTCGCCATCGTCGGCTGCAGTTGCATCTGCTGCTGGGGCGCGCACGGCGCCGCACCAAGCATCACTGGGGCTCAAACAGCGGTTGATTGCCCTGGGCATAGCGAAAGTGGGCACAACTAGAGGTGAAGGGGTGCGCATCTCGCACACGCGCGCGCGCACACACACACACACACACACACACACACACACACACACACACACAACACGCACGCACACCACGCACGCGCACACTGCTTCTCCCGCCATCTCACCTGCCGACACCCCCCTCTTATTCAACCCCCCAGGTGGCGGAGCTCTGCCGCCTCGCCTTCCCCGATAAGGAGTGGCTCCCCCTGGTCGGCCTCATCCACGGCCTCGGGAAGCTGCTCGCCCACCCCTCCTGGGGCGCCCAGCCCCAGTGGGCCGTCGCCGGCGAGACCTACCCGCTCGGCTGCCGGTTCGCGCCGCAGATCGGGCACTCTGAGCTGTTCTCGGCCAACCCCGACCGGCGGCGGCGCGGGTTCTCGACGGCGGAGGGCGTGTACTCTCCTGGGTGCGGCCTCAAAGAGGTCTACATGAGCTGGGGGGCGCCAGGTGGGTCGGGTCCGCGCGCGGGCCTTGGCGGGGCGCGGCGCGTAGCGCTGGGCGCGGCCGGGCCGGGCGGGGCGCACCGGCGGCGGCCTACGCCGAGCCGCGTGGGTTCGAGGCCGCTGCGGGCGCAAGCAGGGAGCGTACGGAAGCGCCATGTCGAGCCGGAAAGGGATGCCGTCGCAGGCACGCGCGCCTCCCCAGCAACAACGCTTGACATGCGCCCACACACCCATCAACCCAGCCCCAGCGGACCCCAGCTGACCCCAGCTGCCCCCCGCGGCCCGCCCTGCTGCTCTCTCCCTACCCCTTCCCCTTCAGAGTACCTGTATCTTGTGATGATACTCAACCAGGTGGCGCTGCCAGAGGAGGCGCTCTTCATACTCAGGTGCGCGCCCGCGCCACCCAGTAGGGGAGCGCCCCTCGTCCGCATCTTGACACCCACAGCCGCGACGACGCGAAGAGCGGCTCCGCCGGCGGACGCCCCTGGGTCTCCTCATGCCTGTTCCGCCCCTCCAGTCAACGACCTGACCGGCTCCAACGCCTTGAATTGCCCTTCTGCTCATCCTTTTCTCAAACCCGCAAACTGTTCCTGAAATGGTCGATGTGTATAATCAGGTACCAAAAGTTTTACAGCCTCACCCGCCCTGGCGGCGCGTACCGCAACCTACTGTCCCCCGACGACGAGGCGTGCCTGCCGCTGCTGTCCGCCTTCCAGCGGCTGTCGGTGTACCGCCGCGTGCAGCTGCCGCCGCAGGCGCTGACCGGGCGCGCCCTGACGGATCACTACGAGGCGCTCGTCGCGAAGTACATAGGGAGCGACAGGCTGTACTGGTGACGCCGCGGCCGCGCCGGGTGACGCGGGGATTCCGTCCCACGGGTGACAGCTCGCAGCGCACGCTGATGGCGCCGCGGGGCGGCCCTGTGAGGGCGCGTGAGAGTGAACGTGAACAGCGGACGGCCCAGGCAGCTTGTTGCGAGGCCTTGCGTGCCGAAGGGGCGGCAGCGGAGCCCACGGCGCCCTCGCCCTGTCCTGCCGCCGGCGCCGCGCCTGCCGCGCGCCGCCCTGTGGCGGCGCGCGCGAGCCCTCCCCTTGCCTGAGGAGCAGTGCGGCGGCGCCAGTGCCTTGTTGTTCGAGTTTTGAAGGTGAGCGGGTTTGGTGGTTGAGGCGCGAGCGGCTGCGCCGCCGCCCCTGGCGTGTTGACGGCCTGATAGTGGTGCGAGGAGCGACGAGTTGGTTTTGGAGGCAGGCTCCCACGCAAGAGCCGCGCCGCGGCCGAGAGAAGACAACGCCGAGAGTTTTGATAGCCGCCGCACCAGACGCGTTCGGCGAGGGGTCGCAGCCCGCCTGTGCTGCCCTCCGGTGACCCGGTTGGGTTTGGGCGCGCGACAGCGCCCCGCCGCCCGCGCGCCCTCCCGCCGCGGCGCCGGCCGTGTGCCGCGCTTCGGGCCCTTCCAGAGCTTTGGGGCGTCCCTTGGGCGCCTGAGATACCCTGCTTTTGCCTGCTGCAACGGGACGTGGCCCCTTGCGCTGCTTTTTTTTGCCTTGCTGCTGCTGCCGCTGCTTCTGCTGCCGCTGCTGCTGCGTCTGCTGTCACTGCGGCTGCTGTCCCTGCTGCTGCTGCTGCTACTGCTGCTGCTGCTGCTGCTGCTGCTGTCCCTGCTGCTGCTGCTGCTGCTGCTGCTGCTGCTGCTGCTGCTGCTGCTGCTGTGTCGTCTTTTGGGTTGGTTTGGGAGCCGCCCTGCGCACCCTTGGGCTGGTCGGTGTGCTGCAGCCGCCGCGCATGCAGTTCGCATGCCAGCGGCTATCCAAGTCCATTTAGCCCAGCCCGCAGCCTTTGTCCGATTTGCGGCTGCGCGCGGCTTCAAAGGGCGAGAGGAAGCGCGCGCTCGCCTGCTTGGGTGGCCGCGCGGCCTCTGGCCCAAAATTTTGATGAGCGGCGCGGCAACGGCGGCGCCCATTTTGTCACACCACCATGCACTTTTGTTCCTTTTCCTGCTTTGCATCGCGGCGCGTATACCCCCCTATACCCCCCCCCCCCTCCGCCGCGAGCGAGCCGCGCTCTGCTATGCGCGCCCCTGCGCGCACTCATTCGTGCGCGCCGAGGCGCGGCGCAAGCCAGAGACGCGATGCCCCCTTCCCCCACGCATGCCGCAAACCGCACGCCACCTGCACTGACCGAGCGACAGAGCGAAAACTGATCCCCAACGCGGCTACAGGCGCGCACAAGTTATGCCCGCGCACGCGTGCTCAGTGCGCCCCTGCCTCGCCGTCCCCCGCGCCCCGCCGCCGTCGAGGCGGCCCCGCGGGGGCTGCGCTTCAGCTGGGGTCGCTACGAGTGCGCGCCGCGGCTGCCCCGCCTGTTCCCTCTGAGACACACGAATTGATGTAATGCCGCCGCGACGCCATCACCCGCTGTTGCAGGCAGAATGCTGGGCAGCAACAGCACAGGACAGGGTGTTTGCAGCCACCCAGCACCAGCCCGCCGACTCAGCCGCCCTTCCCTGAGCACCGACCCGGGAGAACGGGCAACAGGGTCGCGAGTTTACACGTAATCACCCTCCCTCTGGCCGCTGCTGCTCCCGCTGCTGCCGCAGCGCCGCCTCGAGCTGCGCCTGCACCTCCCTCTGCCGCGCCTGCGCCAGCGCGACGCACGTCAGCAGCGTCTGGGGCGCGACCAGCGCTGAGCCGCCAGGCTTGAACACGCCTGTGCGCGCACGTCGGGGCGCAGGGGGGAATGCAAACCCGGAAAAGATTGGCCGAGCACAGAGAACTGGCCTGTACATCAGATGAGAGAAGCTCTAGAGGCGGGATGCGTCAGCAATGCGCATGTGCCCGCACACGTCGGCCTGTGACGAGGGCCCCCTTGGGCCCAATCGACCGACCTCGCGCCCGCCCTGCAATGCGACACACAGAGCCGCCGGCTGCAGTCCACCCCGCTGTTGCGCCCGCGCCCCCCGTGCTCACCTAGCAGCCCGCCCTCCCCGTCCACCACCACGCTGACGCGCGCCCCCATCAGCGCCTCCTCCTCGTGGTCCGGGTCCACCACCACGGCCCCCTTGTATACGCCGCACGTCAAGCACACCGGCGCCGCCGCCAGCCGCAGCGCCGTGCTGTCGCCGCCGCCGCCGCCGCCGCCGCCGCCAGCGCCGCCGTCGGCGGAAGCTTCCGGGTCGGGGCCGCGCTCGACGTTGCCCTCGTCTGTTAGGTGCACGGAGGGCAGGCGGCAGTCGCGCAGCGCCGCGGCCGCGGCGAGCAGCGCGGCATCAAGCAGGCCGCCGGCGGCGTCCAGCACGTATAGGTCCAAATACAGCACCCACACCGCCGCGCCGGGCGAGATGCAGAGCTGTCTCGCGTCCAGGACGCCCGACGGCCCGGTCAGCAGCTGCGAGACGCGCGCCGCGAGCTCGTGCGCCTCGGGCGCGGCGCGGCCGGGGCGCCACGCGCCGCTGGCGAGGGCGGAGAGCTCTGCGGACACGACGACCTGGCCAACCCCTGGGGCGTCGTCGGGCGGCACGGCGACTTCGAGGCGGCAGCCGGCGAGGACAGCGGTGGGGCCGACCTTCACGAGAGCCGAGCCGTCGGCTGCGCCGACAGCGCCGAGGCCGATTGTGACGGGGCGCGGCGTCGAGAGGCCGCGGCCGTCGGGGCGGACGCCCTCGGCAGCAAAGCGCGCGAAGAACTGCTCAGGGTAGAGGCGCTTGAACGCGTCAGCCTGCAGCTGCTGGTGCTGCTCGTGGTCATTGTGGTGCGGATGCTGATGCTGCGCTGCAGGCGCGGCCGCTGCGGCTGCGGGCGGCAGCGTTGCTGCCATGTATGCTGCGGCCCGCTGATTGCTGCTCGATGGCGCGTGTGCGTACGTCCAATTAGAATGTCTTTCTTTCCCCAGAGGAAGCCCTCTCTGCGGTGTTGTAAGCGTTCACAGCGATCTGACTGTACCAGCGATAGATCTGACTGCCGGGAAATTCGCTGTTCTGTGGTGTATCGCCACAAAGGTAACTCGACGTAGAAGTTGCATCTCGTTGCTTGCATGGACGTGCAAATATCACCGTATATAAATCAGCAGCGCGCAGCTTCGCGACCACCTGAGTACGTACAAGCCCCTCGCCGTCCTGCAGCTGCGACGAATTCCTTGACACACGCATCAGTGGATTTCAAAAAGTTGCCGTCAACAGTTCTGGGCTTGGCCACGGCCTGAGACACAGGCTTGCAGGCACATCAAGTGAGCGGTCGACTACGGGACCAGCCGTGGCAGCCCTCCCTGAGCGCCCCGCGCGGGCGGCATGGCAGCAGAGATTCATTTGCATTCCTCGGAAGCAGTCATGGGCCGTGCCTCGAGCATCAAGGACCCAAACACCCATGACAGCAGCAACCGGGTGAAGGCGCTCTACGAGCTCGTCCGCGCCAAAATGATTGGAAAGGGAGGTGTGATCGATGCTGCGGACGTGCACGAGGTCTGCAGTGCGATCGGTGAGTGGAGTGTGGCCCTACCTAGGCGGGAGGTCGCTAGTGCAAGGAGCGATGCCGTTTGGGTGACTGGCGCTGGCGTGTGTTCCGGAGCCGACCTCCAACGCTGTTCATGACGCTGCAGACGGCATACCCCTGGAGCACCTGGGCGTCTCCGAAGCGCACGGCCGGGGCAACACCCCAGCCACGCGCGCGCAGCGGGCGCACGTTGCGCACCTGCCACCCAGGTGAGCGGCAGCTTACGTGCCGCGGGTTGCTCGCTTGAGTGCTTTTCCTTCGTCATGCCTTGTGTGTGGAGCCCTCCATCTCCAGCTTGCCACGCCAGCCCATCTCCCGCGGCGGCGCCAGCTGCACGCAGCCCCCCTTCACTGAGAGCCGTCCGCCCACGCCCCCCCCCTGTCGGCCCCTGCAGCCCCTTTGCCGGCTCGGCAATCACTTACCTTCACATACACGAGGATGATGTTATGACAATAGGGATATTCCAGCTGCCGCAGGGCGCGCGCATCCCGCTGCACAACCACCCCGGGATGACGGTCTTCTCGCGCCTGCTGTTCGGCTCGCTCCACATCCGGGCCTACGACTGGCTCGACCCGCCGGGCGGCGGCGGCGGAGAGGACGATGAGGAGGAGGCGCAGCAGCTGGGACGGCAGCCGCACCATCTGTGCGGGGGCGAGGCGGACGACGAGGCGCAGCGGCGGCAGCAGGCCGAACGTCGGCAATCGGCGGCGCCGCAGCTGACCGGGCAGCAACAGCAGCAATTTCAACAGCAGCTGCGGCTCAAGCGGAGGCATGACAACCAAAAGCAGCAGCAACCACAGCAGCAGCAGCAGCAGCAGCAGCAGCAGCAGCAGCAGCAGCAGCAGCAGCAGCAGCAGCAGCGGCAACAGGAGGGTGCCGGGGCAGGGGACAGCAGCAGTACAGGCAGCGCGGCCAGCAGCTGCAGCAGATCTCTCTGCGGCGTGCGCGCGGCACGGCTGGCGGCAGACCGCGTGCTCACCGCGCCCACGCCCACGTCTGTGCTCTTCCCCGCCGACGGTGAGCGCCGAAAGCCTAGCGCGGCCCATTCGGCGCTTGGTCATGCGTTGCGACGCCCCAACTCCTCACATCGCACGCCCGCCCCCCGTCAGCACAAGAGTTCGCAACCGCGAGCCCCCTCCAGCTCACCCACCCCTCCCTTGCCCCACACACACCCCACATCGACAAGGCGGCAACATCCACTCGTTCACGGCGCTCAGCCCCTGCGCCGTGCTGGACGTGCTCACCCCGCCCTATGCGCCCGCCTGCGGGCGCGACTGCACATACTATCGGGAGGTGCTCCCGCCGCAGCTGCTGGGCGACGACGCCCGCCCCTTGGCGGTGGCCGCCGACCAGGTCACCACGTGGGTGCGCTGGCAGCAGCAGCAGCACCAGCAGCAGGGGCAGGCGGCCCCCTGCGACGCGTCGGCGGCGGCCGCGCACCCGTGGCAGGCGTACGGCGCCGCGCAGGGGGGCGAGCGGGCCGGGCTGGTGGTTGGTTTGGAGGCGGTGCCCATGCCCTCGGATTTCGTCGTGGAGAGGGGCGTCTACGCAGGCAGGGGCGCCCGCGCCTGACGGTCGCCCCAGCAGACTGTCTTGCACCATTGAGCCCGCGCTGCAGTCCAGCCCACCCGGGCTGCTTGGGCCATGAGGCGGGCGCGCATCCCTTGGGGTCTGCCAATGCAGCTTGCGCCAGCAGCGGACTGTGGACGGCAGCCGCCGCTGCCGCCACAGTCGCGCCCGCTGGATGGCTGGCCGGCTGGCGCCCAGCTACAATGTCCTCGCGAGCCTCCACTCGCTGCCACGGTCGCCGTCGGCGGCACCAGATTCTATGAACTGCCCTCCTGTGAACTGAATAACCTCTATTGAGCCGCCCACCGCGCCTCGGCGTGACGTGACTTTCGGCAAAGTCGCGCCGGGCGACCACCATCCCTTTGCCGCGCCCTCCGAGGGGTGCGCTGTCACAAGCCCCGAGAGCAGCCTTCCCCATCACCAGCGCCCGAGGCTTAGAACGCCAACGCAGCGCGGCGCGCTGGTCGAGTGCGCCCCTTGCCGCCGGCGCTTGCGCCCCTGGATGGCCGGCCTGGCCTGGCTGACCCGCGGGCCCTGCCTCTCGCCCCCATTTTCCCATCCCACCCCTAACGCCGCCCCCTGGGCCTTGCCAGGGCCCCAGCCGCGGGCTGCGTTCTTGCGGAGGCCGCACCGCCTGGTGACTGGGCGCGAAACTGCCAACGTTCTTAAGTTGCCTCAGCCGGTGCGCTGGCGGTCGTTTCGGCCGCGGCCCCGCCTGCGGGCTCGGCTGTGGGGGAAGCAACCCTCTTCCCATACACCCCCTCCTCCTCCTCCGCACCTGGCCCGCACCCGCCCGCCGGCGCCGGGCTGCATGGTGCGCTGCCGCCGGCTGGGGTTCTTTCGGTTGATTTGTGGGCTGTTTGTGCGTTTCCCTCCAGGGGGCGTATCAGGCGCGTGAGCCCTCTGCCTCTTCTTCTGTGTGTGTCTCTTCGGAGCTGTTGGCCCTCCCCTCCATATGAGAGATCTCGAAGGTGCCTCGCTCGCACGCGGCTTCCCGCCCTGTTGCGCCCGGCAGTGTGCAGCCGCCGCTTGCGCCCCATCGTGACGCCTCCGGCGTGCGGCGCCGCCGCCCACGTCTGCTCCACCCTCATTTTATCGCGTTTGGTCGCGGCTGAGGCCTGGCCCACCCATGGACGATGCTCTGCAGCCAATGGACGACCACTTTTTGGAAGCTGCCAGGCTCAACTGCTCAAGAGTATCTCTTCTTTGTACAACCTCGTGTCGGTCGTTTCTCCCGCTCTGTTGTGAGGCTGCGTGTTGCTGTTCTGCTGTGTGCAAAGGCTGATGGAGAACCTGCTTTTGAGCAGCTAAATCGGCTCATAAAACTGTGCTGTGATCATTTTCCAGTTGAGTGGAATCTTGACCCTGATCTATTATTTGAGGTCGCGGTGCCTGCACTTGCGCAACGATTGACCAAATTAACACACGTGTGTGACCACACCCGGGCACATCAATGTAACCTGTAGTCATCACCTAGCGGCACGCAAAGGCAGCGGCATGCGAAGGCAGAGGGGCGAGACGCAGCGGCCGCCGCGGGGCCGAGCTGCTGCGAGGCGCTGGGACCTGCACGCGCTGACCCTATGCCGCAGCCGCCGACGGGGCGCTGTCAGAGGCGCCCGCGCCCGCGCCGTCCTGCTGGTTCGGGCCGCGCAAGGACACGATGCCTAGCGACTGCGCGATGACCTGGCGCAGAGCAAGAGGACGGGATGAGGGGCGGGCAGGGCCAGGGGCAGGGGCAGTTGGCGAGGGCTGGGAGGCAACGGGCGCGGCGCCGGCCGCGCTGATCGCCTCGTTCTGCTGTTCTCACGCGGGCAAGCGGCCTTTGAGGCGGCACGTCGCAGGCAGCAGAGCTGGGGCCAAAGGCTGCGCTGCAGTGCGGCGAGCTGTGGGCGTGTGCGGCAAACAACCCTCTGCACGGGGTCACCTTGATCTTTGAGCGGCGGCTGTTTGTGGCCTTGTCCACCCAGGTGTCCTGGGGCACGGGTGGGGTTTGGGCGGGTGCGGGGCGCGGGGCAGGGTGAGAAGCAGGCGGCTCCTGCGGCTCTACTCAAGCTCGATCATGGCGCCGGACGCGCCGCCCTCAGAACAAGCCGCGGCCGCCCCTGCACTTGCGCATGCCCACGCCGCGGCCTTCACGCGCCGCGCGGCCGCTCGGCCATCGCTCGGCCGGTGATTGCGCGCTCGGGCTCGCGCAATCAAACACGTGCGACTGTCTAGAGGCACGAGGCAGCTGCTTGGCAGCTGCCCCCATTGCCGCACCTCCTTCAGAAACCCGTTGATTGTGACCCTGCTGCCGCGCCCCACGCGTGCCGTGGCCTCCTCAGCCAGCGGCGAGTACATCTCGACGCGGAACCTGCGGGGGGCGCGGGCGCAGGCCGCGGCGCCCCACAGTTGCGAGTTTCTCTGGGGGCGGGACAGGGCGCGGCCCGTGGGGACGGCGGGATACAGCGGGGCATGGCGGCTGCGGCGCCTGCATCTGCTGGGCAGGCAGTGTTTCTGGCTTTTCGGGGACCCACCAGCTTGTCTTGTCCTTCGAGTGGGTGACCGCCATTGCAACTGAGGCGACGTTCGTGCCGCTGGGCAGCTGGCTCAGCTTCAGGTCACTGCCAAAATTGCCTGTCAGGACGACTGTGATGGCGCCCCGTGGCGGCAGCGGAGAGGGCGGGGTGCGAGGGGGGTGGTAGGCGGCGCCGGAGCGGGGGCGGGGCCGGCAGCCGGGGCCAGGGACGGGGGCAGGCCGCGCCATTAGGGGCTGTGGCGCGCAATAGCAAGCGGCGCGCGCGGGCGGCGCGCGCGGCGGCCGCAGGGGCGGCGCTCACCCGTGTTGCGGCGGTCGGAGTCTCCCCTGAAGAGCAAGTCAGGCAGGGGCGGGTTGCATGTGCATGTTGATTTGAGGGTGGGGGGAGAGCCGTGCGCCGCTGAGCAATCGAAACAGCCGCACCAGATCGGCCCCCAGCCGCTGGCTGTCTTTCGGACCCTCAAGGTACACTCCTTAGGGGCGGAAATCACTAGAGGTGAGCGGGGGTGCAGTGCGGCGGCGATCGTGTTGCGGCGGCGGCTCACTCTGCGTCGAAAATGAGTCCCTTGGTGCTCCCCTGCTGCTCGCCGCTCGGGGCACTCGCGCCCTCAGCATAGGCCCGCACCGGCGCACCGCCCGCTGCGGCGAGCCCGCGTGGCGCGACTCTGCAATGCATCGCGGGGCATGTGCGTGTGCAAAATGAGGTTGGCGGCCCCGGCTTCATGGCGCGCACGAGTGACTGCTGTGCGTCGCCGCCGCCGCCGCTGCTGCTGTCGCCAAACCAACGTACAGCCGCAAGGCGGCACGGCGAGCGTAGCAGTACCAAATGCGTCCTTTGCCGGAGCGTACCCGGCGAGTCTCCGCAGGAGAGCGCTCCCAATCAACATGATGGCGAGCGCAGGCACAGCAGACTGTCTGCGCTGAGGTGTGTGTTGTATGCAGTACAGAACAGTTTCAAAGTACTGCTGGATCGTATCTGTACCACCAATAGACTGGAAGCCCCAGGCTAAGATTATCTCATCTGATCTTGCGGGTGGGACCTCCAGCCGCCACAAGTGTGGCAGATCAACCTTGTCAGCAACTATTATGCCGACATAATATAATTCAGGGTCAGCGTCGAGGTCCAGCGCCCGGCGCTCCGCCGCGCACCTCTCCGCCGCTGACGAGCCCCTGCCGACCGTCATGGGCACGGAGTCCCGGAGCCACGCTGACCCAGGACGCCTGACAGGCGCAGCACGAGTGCTGCTCTACGAGCGCTTGCGCCCTGCCATGCATCCCCAAAGGGCGCTGAAGCTGTGGATGGTGCTCCGCATGTACGGCACCGAGAAGCTGCGCGCCCTGATACGCCGCCACTGCACCATGGCGGCCTGGGTGGCAGACCAGGTGATGGTGTTGGAGGGGGGCCAGGAGGCAGGATTGGGCTCATTTGTCAACCAAGGGTGGTGGTCAAGCTCAACAATGGGTACGGGGGGGCCGGTCGCTCTCGCAATGGCTGCTGGCCCGGGCGTACGCATGCGGCTGGTTATGCCATGCGAGAGAACAGCACTCTTGTTGGACTTAACCCCCTAAGCTGTCTTATGCACCCCACAACCGCACGACCTGTTTTTGGCCGCCCCAGGCGCGCGCTGACGCCCGGTTTGAGATTGCTGCGCCGCCGCGGGTGGGCCTGGTGTGCTTTCGGTTGCAGGATGCCAACAACGCCACCAACGCTGAGCTGGCAGCGGCCATCAATGCCACTGGTGGTGCTGCTTGCACACACGCAGGGTTGCGTTGGTTGCGATGCGTCCTGAGCTGGCCCTGCAAGGGATGTGTTCGCAGCTGAAAAGACTGAGTGGACTTACCAGCAACAACGGTTACTGCAACAGCTGCCCTTCAACACCCATGAACACAGACAAACGCATACGCCAACGTGCACACCAGAATTGTGTATGCGTGCGCGCGCGCCCGCTTTCATGCGCAAAAGCGCCACGTGCATGTGTGCGCACACCCCCCGGCCTCCCCCACACACACACACATACACCAAACTGCACAACTTGCAGCCCTTGCTTCAACACCTCACCCCCAGGCAAGATGTTCCTGGTGGCCACATAGCTCCACGGCCGCACCACCCTGAGGCTGGTAGTCCGCAGCCCTCAGACGCAGCCGCGCCACGTGTCCGCAGCGAGGGACTTCTCGTCCGAGCGGAAGCTGCTGTGCTGCTGCAAGATCAGCCGACCGCCAGGGCAGCAGCCGCGGCCAGGGTGCGGGCCGGGTAAACCCTGTTGAGAGGGGTGTAATCTTTTGCCTACTCCAGGCATGGTACCAAGCAAACCCTGTATGGTAGCTATGGACATACCACGCATTAAGTGCAACCCAAGGACTGCCGAATTTGAGTTGCAGCTACCCCTTGTTCGAGGGGGTAGCTCAAAGCAAGCAGTGGCACTTGACATATCGGCACCATGCAATAGCAGCAACAGCAGCCAAGATGGACTGAGCTCCCTGCTGAGGTTGTGGGCAGAGGCACGCGTGGCGAACGGGCACTAAGTGGGGTGTTGAGTTGTTTTACTGAGGCTTCAAGGCATCCACAAGCACCCTTTTTGGCCCGGCAGAGCTGCCGCTCCCCCACCTTGTCAGTCTCAAAGTTGTTTCCTGCTGGTGTTGCTGTGAATGCTGTTGCTGCTGCCCTTTCCAGCGGCATACACCTTGCTTAACTCGCACACGCAGCCGCAAAACCTTGTTTGCCAGTGGTTCACAACTTGACTGCAGGCCTTGACTCCGAGTGAGTCAACCTGCATATGCAGCATCTCAACCTTGTTGGCTGATTTGCAACGTTTTCACTGTTTGCGGATGTGACTGTCAACGCGCTGCAAACAGTAATGGTCGGTGCCTCTGATGCCTGTGCTTTGAAGCCCGGAAACAAAGTGGTCGCGAGCCGAACCTGATCACTCCCATGATGGCCGGTCTCCTGGTGTGAGGCTGCACAAGGCTGCAGAGCGCAAGGCTCGCGCGCGCTCCTGCTGCCTCTTGCGCACTTGCTCATCACAGCAGCAGCACGGACGACTCTGCAACCCCGCGGCGCATGTTGCAATTGATTTTCTGCCAAGCACGAATAGCAATTTGCCGTTTTTTCTTGGCATGATACGTGCTTTTGACACATGAATTACAAGGTGAACATGCTTCAGGACGCAGCGGAGCTGTACGTCTTACTTGTCTGCGATTGGGTTTTGAATTGCTGGCCGTCCAAGGCACATGATTGTTGTTTGGCAGCATGACATACGCAGGCGTCTTTGTCAATAATGAATGCTGCGATTGCTGCAGCACCAGTGAATAATCACAATCGTTAATTCATAGCTGTCAAGCTACCGCACGTACAGGTCGTGCATCCTTCAGTATTACTTTGCTGCGGGCCGGTGCATGTCGCCGTGCTGATTCCTCAATACTGAAGTCATGCCACAGTGAAAGAAGGCACATTGAAAGTTGGACCAGTAGTCAGGTCCATATGGTTCATCATGTACGTGGATTGCAATGCGTGGTTGTGCTGCACACACATGCAGCGCATGCGTGCGCAATGATCACAAGTTTTGAAAATTTTAACAAGTACTGCGGCATGCTGCGCACTGTGTGGAGCGCAAGAAAGAGACTGGACTCACACATGCCGGAGGGCATGCACGCCTGATGCATGCCTGCACATCACTGGTCATTACCCTCGCATCTGCGTTTGCAGCAGGGCGGTTATTACTGGATAGGTTGAGGGGGTTACCTCCACCGTTGCGGCCGCTGCCTGGACCGTGGTTCGAGCCATCAAGGGCCTCCCTAATTGTGTCCCGCACTTCAGGGATCTTGTGGATAATAACGTGACCCAGTAAATCAACAGCCGGAGGGACGCCCGCATCGGCGGCCTTCTCGCCCAGCTGACGTGGACGCGCGAGATTAGCTTCCAAAAGATGGCGCCTCTGTTCCAGCAGGCCACCGGCCTTCAGGGATGCAGCCATTGCACCAGGAGCCAGGAGCAAGGCCACTGCGGATATTGGGATGGGCGGGGCAGGTCTTTTAGTCGTTGCGTCGCACAGCAGGCAAGGACGGCAACATGAAGCCAGGGAGCGATCGCCGCCCACATCTTCAAAGGCATAAAACAGATGCACAGCTTGATTGGCTGCAGTATGAGGGCGTCTAGCCCAATCGGATCCAGGCCCGGGCAGGCTGACTGGATGGCCTGGCGGGGCCCACCTGCTAGGACCACCCAGCAACCGCGAGCCATCTCCTGAAGGCGGAAGTAAATGCTTGTGCACGTTTTGTTGGTTCGCGTTCCGTGCACGCAGCGCGGTGTTGTTTCAGCTACGGTGATTTGAAGAATAAAAAAAAGGTCTGGTTGCAGCGCGATGTGATCGTCGGAGCTGTCAGGCTTTTTTTACATTGCCCCGCTCTGCTTCGTGAGCTTTAAAGGCTGGCCCCTGCGCGCTCGCCGCGCTGCCGCACGGCAAGCTGCTGGCCGCAGCTGCCACGCAGCACCTCGGCGGGCCTGTCACCCCCGTCACCAGCTGAGGTTGCAGGCCGTAGCGCTGGCCCCACTTCCCCGCCCTCTGCTTTGCCGCCAAGGGTTGGAAAGGATTCGGCAGAACAATGTTTTGACGATTAACCGCAGCCCCCATGCCGCGCACTTCGTTCGACTGGGCGCCCGCCCGCTGGCAAGGTACATGAATGCAGGCTACTGCACTGCGTTTGATTTATTCCCCTCACATGCAGTCACCTGTCATCCAAAGCTTCCGTCCGCACTCTGAAAGGCAGCGGTGGTCATGCCACGCCTGATTCATCATTTCGACCCCCTCTCCCATCTGTGCAAAGCAAGAGGGAAGGCTCTGAGGCGTCTTGCCATGCATGATGGCAGCATGTTGCAGGATCATAGGGCACTTGAGCTTCAAATGTAGGGTTTCTCCAGCATTCAATGTGTACTGTAGCATACCTGGCAAGTGCAGAGGTATTTGGATATGGGCATGATGTCCTTTGGGCATACGAGCCGCACAGCAAGGTCAAAAGCAGACACTGACATGCTGCAGACGTTTGAGCTGGATGACATTGGGGGTTTTGTCTGCATGAGGCCTCAGCGGCCTGATGGATTGTAGACGCCAGAAACTCTCACACAATCCTGACAGGGTCGCTATGTGTGGCTGGCGGCTTTTCACTGCACGACACTTCCTGTGTTGCTGAGCTGCCCGTGATTGAGGATTCTCTGACTGGTCAACGTGCCATGGATTTTTGCAGCCTTTTGCGTCGTTCGTAATGGCTTGTGTGCCCAAGTGCAACAGCAATATATTCGCGCAGCCACGTCCCGTGCCTGCGATCGAAATGCGGCCGCGACGCAGGCGGAGTTCAGCGACGCGCAGCGCCTGTGCATAATACAGGGCGGGGCGCAGGGCATGCGGAACGACGGCCGCGGCTGCCGCGGCCCACGGCCGCTGGGGCAGCAGCTTTGGATCATCGCCGTCGCCGACGGCTCATCGCGGCTGCACGTGGGCACGACAGAAGTCGCAGCGGGTTTAAAGGTGCGCGCGGCCCAGGTTGTCATAGCAGGCGTGTGGAAGGGGTGCTGGCAACAAAGGGTGGCATAGACAGCCTCCGACATTGAGCGACGTCGCCCCGGCGGGCTGCTGTCCAGCGAGCTCTGGCGCAATGCAGCCCGTTGCTGTCCCGCTGAGGCCAACACTGGTGAACAACTTGCTGACGCGCAACTGGACCGGCTGCCAGATCTGTGTTGTAATCATTCAGTCAACGAGCCCAACCCTTGTTGATTACTGCATGTCGCACGCGCCATTACTTGCGCGACAATTGAACAAAGAAGGCAAGCGTGACCACAACCGAGCGCACCACTGTAATCACAAGTCACCACCTATCAACACGGCAAGGCAGAGGGGCGCGCCGAAGCTGCGGCCGCGGCGGCCTGCTGCCGCGAGCTGCGCTCTCTCACCCCTGCGTAGGCGGCAGGTTCGAGAGCACCCACTCGGGGGTTGCGCGGCTGTCGATCCACAGGGCAATGTCCCCATCCTTGCTCTTGTAGTCGGGGGCCTTGGGGTTGCGCTTGTTCTGCGAGCAGAAGGGGCCGGCGGGGCGAACAAGCGGCCGGGCCGCGCGCGGCGTGTGAGACGCGGGCGCCGGGGAGGCCAGCGCAGCGCCCGCCGCGCGCGGGGCATGGCCCTGGGCCCCTGCCCTCCCGCAGTAACCCGACAGACCAGACCGTCCCGGGTGCACCCGCGGCCCCTCCCGGTCCCTGAACGCACAGCCCGCCCGCCCGCGCCCCCTCCATG